GATGGAGGAGATAAGGAACCAGCAACATCCAGAAAGACGAGGAAGAAGGCAATATTCAGAAGAAAGATTGAATAGGCCACATGATGAGGAGAGATGGAGAGGTTCTATATCTCCCTTTCCTGATTACATTCCGTTATCACCTCCACCAGAGATGGAGAATAGGAGGACCGAAGTTCGAAGGGGGCAAGGATCTCAGACATCCAGAAGTCTTGTAGAGAGGAGAAATTATCTGGGAGAAGGACGGGGAGTAAACCGGAGGGTAGAGGAAGTTTATGAAGCGAATGTCAGAAATGCAAGAAGAGGACATAGACGTCAAGGTGAAGTGGAGGATCAACCTTGGACGGATGCTTGGGTAGATGAGCAACAACAAGAAGGGTGTCAGTATTTTATAGTCCACAGGGCTATGAAGGACAGATGATGAGACCAGAAGGCCCAAGCCGGAATGAGCCGACGAGAAGATTAACACAACGGATGCCACAGGAGATTCAAGAGCCTATTGCTGGTCAAGGTTTGTCAGGAACCCCTTTATCGTGGAGATTGAGGGCGGAGCCTATTCCGAGTTGGTTCAAACAACCAACTGATATGAAAGCTTATGATGGAAGCTCCGATCCGAAAGAGTTCGTAACAGTGTTTAGGGCAGCAATGTCATTATGCGGAGAATCAGATTCTTTGTTATGTCGGACATTTCCAGTCTTTTTAAGGAAGCAGGCGTTGGAATGGTATACCGGTTTGCCAGTCAATTCCATTGACAGTTGGGCTGATTTATCTCTTCGTTTCATACAGCAGTTTGCTCATTGTGGACCTCAACCAAAAACCACACACAATTTATGTGGAGTGAGACAGAAACCAGGAGAAAAAGTGAGAGACTATTATGAACGGTTCCAAGCAGAAGCTAGACAAGTGAAAGGGTTTGAGAATCAGACGTATTTGTTGTTATTTACCACCGGGTTACAACCTGGCGGGTTGGCGGATTCTTTGGCTAAAAAAGGACCGACTACAAAGGAAGAGTTGATGGAAAGGATTCAGAAGTACATCGATTTGGAAGAGTTCAGATCTTCTCAGAGAAAAATTGAACAAGGGTTTAGGAGGCCAGACAAGCCCGCTGGGAGAGGACAGTTTGACGAAAGGCGACCTCGCGTAGTAGGGGAAAGATTTAGAGAGGCGTATAAGAGAGATTTCACACCATTGAATACGTCCAGAGCCCAGATCTTGAAGGAGGTAATGACTACAGAAATGCAGCATGTTCCACGGCCTCCGCCGATTCGGTCGAGTTATGCACAAGCGGATAAAACGAAATGGTGTGAATTTCATCGGGGTTATGGACATTACACGAATGATTGTTTTAATTTGCAGAATGTTATTGAAAGGTTGATTCAAGAAGGGAAACTGCAAAAATATGTAAGAAGAGAAGGACGGGGGTGTAAGGAAGATAAGCCCTTACGGCTAGACCGAAGTCGTAGCCCGTCTGGGGGAAGGAACAAGGAGCCTAACAGAAACCAAAAAGTTGCAAGACAACCATCTCCGGATAGAGTTCCAGTTGGGCATATTTTCACTATATCTGGGGGGGCGAGAAGGAGGAGGAGAATCTGGGAATGCCCGGAAAAAGCACTTGAAAATGTGTATGGCCATTTCAGAGAAACCGCGTTTTAAAGAGCGCCAGAAGACAGGCAAGCAGGTAGTGTTTGAGGATTTAGACGATGAGATATTAGACCCGGAGCACGATGATCCCTTAGTGATTTCGGGGTTGTTGGCAAACTATCAAGTGGATAGGATGTTGGTAGATCCAGGAAGTTCAGTAGATATTATATTTTGGGATGCTTTCAGAAGAATGGATTTAGATTATGACCAGTTAGAGCCATGCGAAGCTGATTTATTAGCATTCACAGGAGACAAGATTAAACCTTTGGGATACATTCCATTGAGGTTAACCTTGGGGACCGCTCCTACGCACAAGACAGTCACTTTGTTGTTTGCGGTAGTGGATTTGAGTTCCGCGTATAATATTATCCTGGGCAGGCCATTCATGAAGAAATTTAAGATCTTTTTGTCAATTGATCAGTTGGCAATGAAATTTGTGGCTAAGGATGACAAAGTGGCAACGATAAAGGCGGATCAGGTAATGGCAAGAAGTTGTTATAATATGAGTCTGAGAATTTCACATGAAAGTAAGAAGGACCGAGCACTGATAGGAGATAAGGCAAAAGAGAAGACAGAAGCACAGGAAAAGAAAGAAGAGCAAGTAATGGTAGTCAGGATGGATCCCCGGGTAGAAAATAATGCGGAGAGGCTAGAACCTGTGGGGATCATGGAAGAGGTTCAGTTAGGAGCGGGTAAAGAGCAGGTTACAAAAATGGGTTCCGAGTTAGAACCTGATGTGAAGGCTAGCATGAAGCAATTATTGCAATTAAATGCTGATCTGTTCGCATGGAAACCTTCGGATATGCCCGGGATGGATCCTGCTTTATCTTGCCATCGATTAGCAATATTTCCAGGAGCGAAGCCGGTGGCCCAGAAGAAAAGGAGATTCTGTGCAGAAAGGAGGAAGGCGATTGAAGAAAAAACCAGAGAGTTGTTAGAAGCAGGGTTCATTAGAGAATTGGAATATGCCACATGGTTAGCCAATCCAGTGTTGATTAAGAAGCCAGATGGGAGATGGAGGATGTGTACGGATTACACAGATTTGAATAAGGTTTGTCCTAAAGACCCATTTCCGTTACCCAATATTGATCATCTGGTAGATAAGGCATCAGGTTACAAATTGTTGTCGTTTATGGACGCCTACTCCGGGTATAATCAGATTCCATTATAGAAAGAAGACCAAGAGAAGACAGCATTTGTGATAGAAAATGCTGTCTATTGTTATAACGTCATGCCTTTTGGGCTCAAGAATGCAGGGGCGACTTATATGAGGATGATGAATAAAGTGTTTAAGGGGCAGATGGGAAGAATGTTAGAGGTTTACATGGATGACATGATTGTGAAATCGGAAGATGAGAGGAGGCATTTGGCTGATCTGCAAGAGGTTTTTGAGCAAGTTCGGAAGCACAATATGCGTTTAAATCTGAGTAAGTGTGCTTTCGGAGTTCCGGCTGGAAAGTTCTTGGGTTTCTTGTTGACAGAAAAGGGAATAGAGGCTAACCCGGATAAGTGTAGAGCAGTGATGGAAATGAAGAGTCCAGAAAATGTTCAAGAAGTACAGAAGTTAAATGGACGCGTGACAGCTCTGTCAAGATTTTTGGCTAAATCTGCGCAAGTGTTTGTACCACTTTTTCAACTCTTAAAAAAGGGGTCTGAATTTACATGGACCGAGGAGTGTGAAGTTGCATTTCAGCATTTCAAAAATATGTTAGCTTCACCCCCAATTCTTATTAAGCCAGGACCAGGGGAGCTTTTATATTTGTATTTGTCCGTTTCCCAAGAAGCAATAAGTCATGTGCTTGTCCAAGAAGGAAAGAGTGGGCAACAGCAACCCGTGTACTTTATCAGCAAAGTATTACAAGGAGCAGAGGTGAGGTACCAGCATGTAGAGAAAGTGGCTTTTGCGTTACTAATTTCAGCACGGCGGCTTCGTCAGTATTTTCAGTGCCATCAAATAATAGTCAGAACGAACCAGCCAATCAAGCAGATGTTACATAAGCCGGATTTAGCAGGGCGAATGGTGGCGTGGGCAATAGAGTTATCTGAGTTTGGTATTACCTTTGAAGCACTGAAGGCAATTAAAGCACAAGCATTGGCTGATTTTATGGTAGAAATGACACATCCTGGAAGCACTGAAGCAAATAAATGGTGGAAGTTGTTTGTAGACGGATCGTCTAATAGAAGAGGGAGTGAAGTGGGAGTTATAGTGGAAAATGCAGAGGGAGTTGCGGTAGAGCATTCCTTGTCACTAACATTCCCCACAAGTAATAATCAAGCCGAGTATGAAGCAATGATTGCCGGGTTGGTTTTGGCAAAAGAGCTCGGTGCAGAATGTTTGACAGTGTACAGTGATTCTCAGTTGGCGACTTCACAAATAAGTGGGGTGTACCAAGCAAGAGGAGAAGTTATGATAAAGTACTTAGCTAAGGTACAAGAACTGATGAGGGAATTTAAGGAAATCCGCGTAGAGCATATACCGAGAGGGGATAATGTATGAGCAGACGTCCTATCAAAGTTGGCCAGTACCAAAGCCACGGGAAGTTTGAGGTCCATCATTCAGCAAAGCATTAGGGCTCCGAGTGTAGTATGGATAGTAGAAGAAGTAGATTGGAGGAGCCCAATTAAGGATTATTTGATGATAGGTAAAGAACCAAATGAAAAGATGGAAGCAAGTCGTTTGAGAAGACGAGCGGCGTGGTTTGTGATGATAGAAGGGCAATTATATAGACGGGGAATAAAGTCACCTTTGCTGAAATGTATTACTGCACCAAATACAGAATATGTGCTAGAAGAAATACATGAGGGAATTAACGGACACCACCTTGGGGGGAAGTCGTTGGCAAGGAAAGCTATACGAGCAGGATATTTTTTGCCAACAATGGGGGAAGATGCTAAAAGACATGTTCAGAAGTGTGACCAATGCCAGAAGTTTGCTAGTGTGTATCAAGCCCCTCCTGAAGAGTTATTTACCATTTCTTCACCATGGCCATTCTATAAGTGGGGATTAGATCTTCTAGGTCCCTTTCCTAGGGCAGTTGGAGGAGTTAGATATTTGATAGTGGCAGCAGATTATTTTACTAAGTGGATTGAGGCAGAACCGGTAGCGACAATTACTACTCGGAAGGTCCAGAAGTTCTTTATTGGAAAGATAGTTTGCAGATTCGGTATTCCGGCCATAATTATCACTGATAACGGGACACAGTTCATAGACAAGAAGTTCAGACAGATGGTAGCTGACTTAGGGATAAAACACAAATTCGCTGCCGTAGAACATCCCCAAACGAATGGGCAAGTAGAGTCGGCTAACAAAATCTTGACGAATGGACTCAAAAGGAGGGTGGAAGGGTGTAAAGGAAGTTGGGTAGAAGAGTTGGATAATGTGTTGTGGGGATATAGGACTTCAGTACAGTCCAGCATTCAAGAAACACCATTTAAGATGACATATGGTTTTGAAGCTATGTTTCCCGTGGAAGTCGGAGAGCCGACTTGGAGGAGGAAAATGATATCAGAAGAAAAGGAAGACGGGAATGAGGAGATGATGAAAATTGATTTACAGTTGTTAGACGAAGAACGAGAAAAGGTGGCAATGGTAGAATTGGCGTCCAAGCAACGAGCAGCAATGAGATATAATAAAACTGTGGTCAAAAGGACGTTTCAGGAAGGAGATTTGGTGCTCAGGCGGGCAGATGTGGGTAACAAAAATGCAAGAGATGGAAAGATGGCAGCTAATTGGGAAGGTCCTCATCGAGTAATAGTTGCCACGAAGACTGGAGCGTATCAGATAGAGCACTTGGATAGGAAGCCAGTTCCGCGATATTGGAATGCTGCCAAGTTAAAAAGGTACTTTAGTTGAAGAAATCCAGGTCTAAGTGGAAGTCGGATGGCAGGTCGTAGGGCCTTAGCTTTGCATTAAGGATTAGGAAGCTAGTTTGTTAAATGTAGTAGGAGTATTTTATGTTATGTGTTGCAGTTACTTTACATATGTTATTATGTATTGCAATATTTCAATTCAATCAAGCCATTCCGACTTTAAAGTGTATTAAAATGTATTATGTTATTATGCTCTTTAGGAATTGTTAAAGTGTATTAAAGTCCCTTGCCGCCTTCATTGGCCTCTTGGGTAGCCGTTTAATTCCTACTCGGAAACGGGAAAATTAAAGTCGCTTGCCGTCTTCATTGGCCTCTTGGGCAGCCGTTTAACTCCTACTCGGAAACAGGAAGATTAAAGTCCCTTGCCGCCTTCATTGGCCTCTTGGGCAGCCGTTCAATTCCTACTCGGAAACGGGAAAATAAAGTCCCTTGCCGCCTCCATTGGCCTCTTGGGCAGCCGTTCAATTCCTACTCGGAAACGGGAAAATTAAAGTCCCTTGCCGCCTTCATTGGCCTCTTGGGCAGCCGTTAAATTCCTACTCGGAAACGGGAAAATTAAAGTCCCTTGCCGCCTTCATTGGCCTCTTGGGCAATCGTACAATTCCTACTCGGAAACGGTTATGTAAAGACATACTGTCGAGTAAAAAAAAAAAAAAGAGTAATGAGAGTATAATTGTGTCAACAAGAGCAAGCAGGTATTTAAAGGAAAGTGAGAATCAAATAATAATACATCATTTCACTTCACGCTTACGGGTTCAAATACTTAATGAAAATAAGTAGCTTACGAGTACAAGATTACAATAGTTATAATAAAAGAGCTGAGTACAAAATCAAGTGATGTCTAAACTGCTCTAAGTAGTCTTAGGAGCAGGGCTTGAGGTAGCAAGGTTGGAAGCAGGGGTAAATCCCAAATAATCAGAGGGGTTTTCAACAAGAACAACAACAGAGCCTTGTTCGTCATGAGTGCATAGTCGGTCATTATCAATGAAGTTGAAAGTTTCTATTTTGTTCAAATGAGGCAAGGGAGAGTCTGGATGGAAAAATTTCACCTGATCCACAACCCAGCCACGAATTTGATGACCGAAGTCAACATATTTGGAATCCATGTCTTCAGCAGCTTGTGTAAAGACTGGACATTTTTC